ATAGAGATCTGACGAAGCCATTTCAACAGGAAGAGATACATGTCGCATTCACAGAGAAAACTAATGGATTCTCTGTGAAAATAAAAAAAAGGTGAATTATAGCAGCTGGTATCATCCAAAGATCATGGTTGACACAGAGTTCTTTCACTTTTGATGCATCTGATGTGTAAGGGCATTTTAATACATGGAGTGCATGATTTCTCAGTGAGAAAGGGAGCACCTGAATCAATGCTGCTTTTTCTGTTAATTTGGTATAACTTACTACCATGAACATACCCCTCAATGATTCTGACGACTAACTAATTGGGTAAGGTTATGAATTGCATGCTGTAGAGTTAGCAATTTGATTCTTCTTGGTGCTTCTTTGGATCAGTAAAATTACTCCTCTTTTGTTTTAAACACAACTGGAGCTAGGCCAATGCAGTTTTCTGGTCTGGATTGACCCTTATGTACATGACTTGGTTATATTCAGGCTTAACTCAAATTCCCCGTTTCCTTTACATCTTAGTTTATCAATAACATGGACAGTATGAGGAGGAATTGAGCAAGGCACACTTTGGCATGATGTGCTACCTTCAGTTGGCCCTAGCTGGCTGATAGACACTACTGAATCTGTTTATTCTCTTCATGACTGGTAGATTTTGTTGAGTTCTAATCTGCATCTACTAAGTTGGCTGATGGTCATTTTACCTCTTGGGAACAACTTACTAGGATGAAGTGGTTTGCATATGTGGATTTATTCTTCCTTCGAAAGTGTTTTACTTTTCTAGTGGCATCTCATCCTTTACCACTAGAGAAGAGCAAAGAAGTGAATTTATATGATGGTTTAGAAGAGCTAGTGAGTTATTCAGTCTAGCTAATTTGTCTTATTTTATCTAAATTAGCAATAGAATACTAATTACAGGCTAGAACAACTACAGATAACACTAATCTGCAATGTCCAACTTGAGGAAATTTATAGTTGGACATGAATGAATAGGTTCAGTGCAATATCATGTCATGGAAAATATTCTTGTGAACCATTGAGATTATACTTCACAAATTTATCTTACAGATTACATCAAAACCATGTTCATCGAGCCGCTGAACAAAGCCTGGTTTCTAATGAAGATAAGACCATGTCCGAGGTTTCTTCAGTGGCTTATGCCATTTAATGGTATGGCATTCTTTTCTTATTACTTTGTTTATTATTAATATTGATGAAGATTGAGGATTGCTGAAGTCTTTATTCATTTTTTTCTGGTTTGGATGCAGTATTAAATGACAATAGTCTCTATCACTCCAATTTGTTGGGATTTATTTTGACTGTCCTAATCAAAGAATTTTGATCATTTTGGCAATGAATAATAATCTGTCATAGAGTTTATAATATTTGCCGTGACCTTATGTTAGATTGTGATATTCCTCTATTTTATTGCATAGAAAAAGTTGACTTCCAGCAAGCATCGAGGCCAAGAGGATTGCTCTGGTGTTGACAATATATATTGTGGTCAATATGTTGCCTTGATCAATATATATTGTTGTCATTTTCATCTTTCAGAAATTAAAAAGAATTGCCTTGATTTTGACAAATCACCTAATCTGATCTCAAATCCAAATTCTTTATCCATAAATGGGGTTTTCGTTAGTTGATCGGTTTGATTGCAATCCTTTTGGGAGACACTATAATATGCAACATCATCCACTAGTCCAACATGACTTTATCTGGTTAGGAATATCAGAGTTGGTTGCTTCAGGATTCTTTACCTTGAACAACATATGGTTACCAAGTTTTATAGGCAAAATGTTGCTTTTGATGGTGTCCTGATGTCAAATCTTTGTCATTTATATTATTTAGATTTATTTCATATGTAGATATCAGTGTATATATCTTTTCGGGAAGATGATTTCTTTAAGCTCTACAAACAGATTTAACTTTGCTGGCACAAATTTGTTTTAGCTGGAGAAGTGACTGCATTTTCTGATAAGCAATCTAGCTTCAGCAAAATCTGGATTCGAATTGAAAGGTAAACTTAACTTTGACCTAATGAAATGGTTGTTATTTCTTTTGTATTGTGGTGTGCAGCAGCACCATGCAGGAGTCTGCAACTCCAGTGAGCTCTGCTCTTCTTCAGACATGGTGATGTTAACTTGATCGTGATGGTATCAGAGCGGTTGCTGTTTGCCTTCTCTCCCATCCTAAATTTCCTGTCGTTGACACAATGCACAGCTCCATGTCATCGGCAGAATGCACCTTCCTCCTCTACGGTAAGTAACCATATATATTTGCATATCATTCAGTTTACGGTAAGTAACTAGTATTTAGATCCTCGCTCCAATGAACTGCAAAATCCCAAATTGTTCTACCACAACATCTACTTGAATAAGCTAGTTGAATCAGAACTCTCATGTTGTTCAGGTTTGCACCGGTGAGGAGTTTCTAACAAGATCATCCCAAACAGGGGGACTATCAGTGGATATTTCTCATCGAACAGTGCAGAAATTTCCATTATTTGTCGTGCCCGAGGATGTTGATAAGATGTTGACACATGACAAGGTTAGCTATTGCCTCTGAGACTCTACACAGGGTTATATACAAATGATTCGGACAATGTAGCTGCCATTGGATGCCTGTGTATGACCCACCTTCGATTCGATCTCGTCGTGAGATTACGACCTGCAACCAGATTTGATGTCACTGACTTGTCACTCTAATCAATGCCAGGTTTCTCATCCTCGAGGTCTGACTCCAGGAACGGTCTCAGGCTCCCAGCTCTGCAAGTTGCCACTGCCACCTTCTTTGCACTGATGGTGTACAAGATAAGCATGGCACGAGAGGAACAGGGAGATCGGCTGTGGGGTTTGCCTGCAAGTTGCCATGTTCATTGTCCCGTGAACAGAACACAGGTTTGGCCGGCGATATCAACTGTTCATGCTGAGGGAGTTGGGAACTTGAGGCCACACACATCGGCACATGAACAAGAACAGGGCACATGTGATGGCTAGATTTAGCAGGAGGACTACTGACAGGTCCAAGTTGGGAATGTCCACAGTGCATGACCCTTCCACGGTTTACTCGCTTCTAAGGTCTGGATGGGTTCATATCAAGGAGTAGGTTTGCTGTCGAGCTCGTGATAAGAAAAGGCCTCACAAGTTCGATCCTTTAGTAAGAGAGGAAAACATGGGCTATCTGGCCAACAAGAATGGGTGCAGAAGAGAGATAATATATAAAAGAAAAGATGCCGGAGGAGATCAAGGATGATATGAGACAACATGCTAACAAGTTGGGGGGGGTATTTCCACTGTCGCTGGTGGAGCTCATGCAGAGTGGAACATTCCTTAAAGAGAGAAAACAAAAGCATGGAGGACTGTTTCAGTGCTCAAAGAAACTTTTGGCTGCCGTGCTCTTCTCTGTGCTCAAAGGATTTGAATGATGGCTCCCAAGTGTTGCTTCTGCTTCTCCTTGTAAAATCTCAGTTTAGTATCAGGAAAGAGCCATCCAGCTCAGTAATTTGCCCCACTTCAAGCAATATTGAGAGAAGGGAAATAGATAGAGATGACATGAGGACTTACAAAATGGAAAGAAGAAAACGATTTGCTATGAGAAAGAAACAGAGGATGAGAAAGTGGGAGCTGAAGAGCTTTCTGCATGATGGGAAGCTGATGCAGTATTTCCCTCGTGCATACCAAGAGGAAAAGACATGCTAAAGGTTGGTTTAGCTTGATCTTGGTCATAGCATCACATAGTTAATTAGATCATTAACATCTCCAATGGCTGGTGAAAGCAAGTAGGATGAGGACCACCAGTTGAGTGGCCATTCACGGTTACCTATTAGAAGCCTCAATCTCTTTGGGCCCAGTGAAGGTCTCCATCCTCCCAACTTTTGAGTGGTTCCAAAAGCTGAAGCGACTGTGAAAAGTATATGACTGCTCTTTCTACTATGACAGTGGGGATATCCAAGTAATTTTGGCACTTTCAAGGAGAGAGGATCATAATATCCAATTCATTCTTTTAGGAGGCAAGCAATCCTGGTTTGACGTTAGAACACAAGGTGGAGTCTTCTTCTCCTTGACAGAAATTAGGAGGAATATACTTCAAGCAAGCTATGGTTGAACACCAGCCAATTGAATCCTGCTGCAGAGAAGAGACAAGCTTCTTTACTTGTGAAAAGGTAGTCAACAGGCTAATGTTATCTTTCTCCTTTCTTTTTCTTTCTTGCTCAAATAGTTTGGCCACTATATCATCCTCCCATCTTCTTCCCTGGTGCTTTCCTGCAGGGATTCTTTATCTCATGGCTGCTGCATGTGGAGGGACGCAGCATAGAAGAACACAAGAAAAGGAATGGCCACGAAACTTTTGAGCCTGGAGATCATGGAAAAGCTACAGTAGAGCGGGCAGGGTGGAGCTGAACCGTGGAGTCGTCCCACAAAAAAGGTGGCTGGTGGCGTTTGCCATTTGCGCAGGGCTCACGGATTGCACCACGCGATCTATGGGCACTGCCGTCCTTGGGGTGTGTGGTGCACCGCCGATCATCATCATTGGCTCTGAGGACATCGCCACAGCTCTCCACCATACTCCACTGCAAAAGATTTGATTCCTGGTCCTCTCCTTCCTGCCTCCTTCACTGGGCAAATCCAAGCCACCCGAGCAAGGACTTTGGTCAGCCGGAGTAACAAGTGGAGTCGCAGTTTCAGGGGGCCACCAACAATCTCATCAGTGACACCACATTCCCTCACATTGGATGATCATGCGGGTGGCTCCTCCATCTCCATCAGTGATATCTGATCTGTGTGATTTATTTAGATCATGAACACAAAAGAAGGATCGAGCACAAGATAAGATTGATGGTGGAACAGGAGAGAGGCTGCGTGTCCAACCCCGCAGTAAGATTTCCTCACATCAGCAGGAGCCTGTTGATGAAGGCCACTTGTCTGTGTGCAAGCTAGAGAGAGGAAGGTGAGATGAGACTCACATGCAACCTGTTCTGTCAGGACTTGGGTCCCATTAGATTCGCAGCCAGGACCTACAGTTGTCCTGCCCCCACAGCCTTCCTATAAATGTAGCTTATGCCCTCATGGAAAGAGTGGTGAGTGATGTATCCTTCTGCCCTTGTCATCACCACCAGGAGACTTCTGTTCCTATCTGCTTTTCCAGCTCCCTTATAGAGAGGGCGTGTTCCATCTCGATCCCTTCATTGTACCGGTCCCTCGCATAAGAGCTTGTCCAGCGGAGGACTTTGATCAGCCATGCAGGTAAAGAGATCGCATGGGTTGATCTTGGTATGTGCCTGCTTCTCTCTCTCTGATCATTTGGTGCTGCTGCTGCTGCTCTTTGTTTCTTCCTGTCCTCAAAGCCCAGCTAGGGTGCCTCTAGCTTCCTTCTTAAGCCCACCTAGTGCAGCAGCTCTTCATTCTTCTCCAATTATATTTCTCTGCATGCGTGCTTCTTTTCTTTCATTTGATGGCCTGTTTGCTGAATGAGCTCCCTTTCTTTGCATTCTTGCAGGTGAAATCCAGTCAAGAAAACACTGTTATCAGTTCCTTTGTTTTATTGGATCTGATCCTATTCAAATTCCATTTTGTTTGGTCATTTACTAGCTTCATATTCACAGTGGGTTCAATTTTTTCTTCTCATGTTCCCTCTCTGAACTAGAAGAAATTGAAGGAATATTAAGTTCTTCCCTCTATGGACTTTGCTCTGTTCTGTACCAGAGTCAATATCCTGTTTCTTCTTATAGCTCTCTGTTCACCATGCAAGTTCATCCAGAGCCCCATGGACTTTGGCCCCTTGAACTTCCACCAGACCACAGACACCTCGTCTTTGGACTTCGGGAGGATCGTGTTCGACTCCCCTTCCGCCGTCCTTCGACCCCAATCCCCAAAAGAGATCTCACTCCTCCTCGGCTTTCTCTCTGCTTCATCCTTCAGTAAAGTCACAGTTGCAGCAAGAGGAGCAGGCCACTCCATCGATGGCCAAGCTCAGGCCCTCGACGGCATTGTCATCGAGATGGACTCCCTGCCCTCCACCATAAGCATTCACCGTGGACGAGAGTCCGGTTCCTCTTACGCTGATGTCAGTGGTGGAGCTCTTTGGATCGAGCTGCTACGCGAGAGCTTGAGGTTTGGGCTGGCTCCAAGGTCTTGGACCGATTACCTCTACCTCAGCGTCGGTGGGACTCTCTCTAATGGCGGCATCAGTGGCCAGACCTTCAAGCACGGACCTCAGATCAGCAATGTCTTGCAGCTCGATGTGGTGACAGGTAACAACAAAAGCAATCTCTTGTGCCCCCCTCCTATGATGATAGAGCGTAGTAGATTTTGATTTCTCGTTCTATGTTGAAGGTAAAGGAGAGCAAGTAACATGCTCGCCCACTGAAAGCTCGGAGCTGTTCTTTGCGGCTCTGGGTGGGTTGGGCCAGTTCGGCATCATAACGAGAGCAAGGATCCTGCTCCAGGATGCTCCTCCGAAGGTTACTCCAAAAAGCTCGCAGCTTTTTCCCTCTCTCTGATCCTCGAGTTCACTGATCAATCCGAGTGGTTTGGCATGGTTAGGTGAAGTGGGTCAGAGCCTTTTATGACGACTTCGAGACCTTCACCGAGGACCAAGAACTGTTGGTTGCAATGCCAGATGCAGTGGACTATGTCGAGGGATTCATCCTCCTAAACGAGCAGTCCCTCCACAGCTCATCCGTCGCCTTCCCATCTCATCTGGAGTTCACCCCGGAGTTCGACAGCAACGGCAGCAACTACAGAGTGTACCACTGCATCGAGTTTGCCATCCATGACTACCAAGTCGAGAGCACAGATGTGGAGCAAGTCAGTCGTTCTCAACCACTCCCTCCTCCTCCTCTGAGCTCAAAGCCTTGTGATGGGGAAGGTCTGATGTGCTTCTCTCCTTTCAGGTCGTGACCGAGATTTCCAGGAAGATGAGCCATATACCTTCGCATTTCTACAGTGTGGAAGTCTCCTACTTCGACTTCCTCAACAGGGTCAGGATGGAGGAGGTCAGCCTCAGGAGCAGAGGGCTGTGGGAGGTGGCTCACCCATGGCTCAACCTGTTTGTGCCCAAGTCTGGGATCAGAGAGTTCAAAGACTTGCTGCTGGATAACATCTCACCGACTGACTTCGAAGGCCTTGTTCTCATCTACCCACTTCTAAGAGACAAGTAAGAAAGAACTCTCCCTTTTTGCTTCCCCGAATTGCCCACATACCCTCACAGCACTCGCCGATTCAAGCTATCAGTGGAGTTCAGGTAGGAGCTAATACCTCTCTTCCAGGTGGGACGCGAACAGCTCGGCTGTGCTGCCTGACGGGGGAGGCAGAGCGGAGGAGCAGGTGATGTACATCGTCGGAGTGCTCCGGTCAGCCAACCCGGCCACCTGCGCAGCCCAGTGCCTCCGAGACCTCCTCCGCCGCCGCCGTCGCGTGGCAAAGGTCGCCACGGACCCCCGAATCGGAGCGAAGCAGTACCTGGCGCGCCACCCCTCCCAGGGCCAATGGCAGGATCACTTCGGCCGGCACTGGGACCGGTTTGTGGCCCGCAAGGCGCAGTTCGATCCCCTCAGCATCCTCGCCCCCGGCCAAGGCATATTTCCCCGGACATATGCCTCTTCCTCGTAGTACCACATCGATCTCTCTACAGCACTTTCGCATCAAATCCACTGCATGCACGACCGTACCATTCCATGATTCTGCCTTTCATGTTCTTTCTTTCATGATATGTTAAAGAGGGGGATGATTTCGGAACGTAGCACAGCGATTTGAGCGCAAGTTGGATTTTAGTTTATGAATCTGGGATTCGTGGGCGTGGCTCTCAAAGTAGATTCGAGATCATGCAGTGGGAAGTGAGAGGTCGAAAGAGACAGGAACAAATCTAGTTCAGAATCTGACACCTGCAGTGATCAAACATCCAAATTTGCACCAGCAGTAGACAGCTTCAGATTTCATATCAGGAAGGGACAAATCTAGCGAGGTTGATAGGGAAACTTGATGGAGAACATGCTCAAATCGGTATCATTTGGTATATGAGGAGGAGACCACCTGCTCTTCTATTTTTTGATCGACAACACAATCTATGTTATCCATCGTCATTCTTAGATGTGATGAAAGTGAGATTTGATCATATAATTTTACTATCTATAATCAAGTTTTTACGTCATATTAATTAGAAGATAATGAAAGATGCAATAAGGGTTAAGGTGAAGGGCATGGCTAATACAAACATTAGGAGGGCGAAATGTGGTGACATCCATCATAAGATTAATAATGCATGTTAGCGTTGCAATCTTCGGGGTAGGCCCAATTAAACCGGCCGGGTCAACCGGCTCATCCGGCCCAATGTTGTCATCCTCCAACAACCACACGGTAAAACTCGTGGCCTACGCCGTGGCCTCTGCACATCTTTCTCTCTCTCTCTCTCTCGAGACCTTTCCCTTTTCCGATCCTGCAATGGCTGCCACCGGCCCCGCCGCCGCTGCCCTCTTACTCGCCGTGCTCTCCCTCTTCTCCGCCTACGCCGACGCCCGTCCCGGCGTCCCGTTCCACCCCTGCAACACCGTGTTCGTTACCTACACCATCACTACCACCGCCTCCGACGACGACGCCCTCCCCGGCCTCCACCGAACCTCCGGGTTCGTCTCCGTGTACCGCATCATCGCCCCGATACTCACCTTCCACCACGACCCCCGCCCCGCGATGATCCCCCGGCCGGTGCTCCTCCGTCGCCGCGAGGTCGCCTCCGCTGAGCCCGCTGCGCTCGGGTTCAGCTCCCTCCAGGATCGCGCCAAGGACATCCTCGTGGTCGTCGTCGGCCTCCTCTTCGGGGTCGGGTGCGGCGCCCTCACCGCCGCCACCATGTGCCTGGCCTGGTCCCTCGTCACCCACCGGCACGAGATCTGCGGGTCCGATGAGTACAGCGACGACGAGGAGGGTGCCGACGAGAGCCCCAAGAAGGCGGGCTACGTCAAGATCCCGGCAGCTGACCCGGTCCTCGTCAAAGAAGGGTATGAGGGGAATTAGGGTTAGCGCTTTACGAACCGCGGGCGAGCGATACGTATATATATATATAGCGGACATGCGCTTCTGTGAATCTATGATGTCTGTTTGGCTCTAATACCGTCTGTCTAATTGACTTTTGGAATCTATTTGTATTGTGTTTACCTCGATGTTATTGTTCCTAGTGCATCTTCTTGCTGATTTCATGCCTTATGCAGCTGGCATTGTGATTCAAGTTATTGCCTGTTCGTTTTATGGCATTATGATTTTTCTTTAATTGGTCATCGCAAACATGTTTTTATCAATTGCAGGACCTCTAGAAGATTCATGTTATTATTTGTTAGTATCATGGCATTGTGATTTTTCTTCAATTGGTCATCTCATTGCAAATATGTTTTTACCAATTGCAGGACCTCTAGAAGATTCATGTTATTATTTGTTAGTATCATGGCATTGTGATTTTTCGTCAATTGGTC